TAAATACTTTATTTCAAGAAAAGAAAAGGCAACAAAGAGATTACTTCGTATTATAGAAAGAAGTTCAAGTATTTTTTTTAAGATATATTTATTTTATATCAGGCAAAAACTGAATACGAAAACAAATTGATTTTCAGAAGCAATCATTTTAACGAAACTATGGCAACAAATGCTCCATCTGACAATAATGCATTCGCATGCAATAGCAGCATTGAAAATTTTATTCTAATTTGGCTTGATGCTGATGTAAATAGAACGGAAGAAAATTTCAATGCACAAAAAGAATTACGTACCATCATCAATAATATTCAGACATTCGAAATTATTGATCAATGTGAAGAATACATCAAAGGTCAAATGAATCAATATCAATTTATTGTCATCGTAAGCGGACGACTCGGTCAAGAATTAGTGCCTCGTATTCATGAATTTTCTCAAGTTTTGGCAATCTATGTTTTCTGCATGGATCAAGAAAAGAATTTAACATGGGCACGAAACTTTAACAAAGTAGAGTAATCTTATTGAATTTAATTTGAATTCATTGTCGATTTAGATTAAAGCTGTTATCGTTGACTTGAACAAACTTATATCCTTAATTCAGGAAGATTATAGCAATCGGACGAATATGAAATTAAGAGTACTGACGAATTTGAAGTCAGGTGAATTTATTCTTTTGTTTTCTTAAGGGTAGTCTCACCTGAAATTTTCATCACAGATAGAGTACCTAGAACAAGGAGATACATGTTCATATATCACATCAAACTTTATTCGATTGAGCTAAATATTATTTTTAAAATACGTTACTCTATATTTTGAAAAAGACATTCACTGATTTAATTTTCAGAGAATACTTAAAAATATCTATCTATAGTAAAGATTTCAGCTAAATTCAATAAAATATGCGTGAATGTTATGAGAAATCAGAATTGTTGAGAATAAAAGCAGAAAATCTTGTTTACATTTTTAAAACAACATGTAGCATACATGTATTTCAATTATTAAATCTAGATAAGAGTTGAACTAAAGTGTAGATATAAGTCTTGCATTTTCTTTATTCAGTTAACCAAGGAACAATACCATCAAACCAAATAAATGATGCAATTGATCATGGCAATGATCTTGCCATATTTCAATTTTCATTGAAAGATCTTGTCAATGCAGGCGAACTTCAATATACCGATAAAAAGATGAAAGATATCGCTAGTGATCTTGTGAAAAAGTTCAAAGGTGAATTTAATCGCAATCTGAATTTTCTTATTCTCGACGCCATACAACCAATGATGTATTTGCTCAAACGTGAACAAAATCTATCTGACTTTTTGGAGCCACTAAAAAGTTTACTCTCGAAAGAAAATGATATTCCATGTATTAGTCAACGTTGGTTAGTCGACGTAATGATGATCAATTCAAATCGATTTCTTTGTCGACGTTTAACATTTCTTCTTAGCAAACGTAACCCAGTACCCATGATTCAACCGCCTACCAACACGATCAACAACGGATACCGTTTTGTATCAAGCATCATTCATGTCTGGGATTTTAGTCGACCTATTCTACTCTCATTTGGTGTAGGCAAATGCAAAGGTAAAAGTCCTCTTGTTAATGCTTTATTCGAAACGAACTTTGAACAGTCAATGAATAGTCCGTACTTTCATGAAACAATCGATGTTGATTTCGGCTACCATTTTGTTGAACGACGCTCTGTAAATGTTGCTGATGTTCATGGTAATATTTTAATCGAAACTCTCAAACGTATTTGTCAATTATTCAATGGTTTTATCATTCATGTTCAATCAACGTATTTTATCTCGAACACATCGGATGTCATTGAATTTCTACGTGTGCTTTCGCATCCAAACTATATTCTCTTGCTCATACGTGATCTTGACGATGAGGACAACGAAGAAGTTCAAACAGCTATCACAAGGGTATATTCGATTTGTTCGAATTGTCAGATCTTCTATTTGCCAAATGTTGCTGACAAGAATACTTATGTCAACAAAGAAAAAATTGAACAATTACGCGAACAAATTTTTCTCAATGCTGTCAAATTTTCTTATTCAAACGAACACAATATCCAAAAGCATCTCGAACAACTCATGAATACCGCTCAACATAGAAATGCTGATCAAGACAAAGTATTTATTGATTCTATTCGACCAGTTCTTATTCATGGAAAAGAAGATGATTATCCACTCTATTCATTGTTTACTCGCATGTGTGATACAAGACTCAAAATAGCCAAGATGGATCCGTATAATGCCGATTTTCAAGATAAAAAGCTTTATGATCTTCATAGCAGATTGTTTCAAATTAGTGCAGAACTAGAAAAGCAGCAACGAGTTGGTTTTCAAGCAACTGGTAAAGCATTTCAACTTTTCTTTCAACAATTCATTCAAAACAAAGAAGATCAATTGAATAACTTGAATTTATTATCTATTGAATTGAAACATGAACGAGACAAGAACACAGTTCTAGATCATATGACATCATTCTATCAACAATTGTCACTTGAAATCCATTGGCGAAATGCTATGATCAGTTCGAAAAATATATCAAATGCCGAACGCAAAACACTTATCGATGCATATCACAATTATATTGACGAAGGAAATCCTTTCGAAATTGTCGATGGTGATAATTTCGAAATGCAAGGCGAATTTTTAATAGAAGTAATGCATTTATTTCATAAGAAAAAATTTTTTATTATGAGTATAATCGGACCGCAAAATAGTGGTAAAAGTACATTGCTTAATTTCTTATTTGGCACTTTATTTGAAGTACGTGAAGGACGATGTACTCGAGGTAAGTTTATATGATTTTAACGATTACTTTACTATAGTTTAACTGTATAGAAGAAATTTTCCATTGAAAATTTGTTGATTATTATTTTAAACATTTCAATATTGTAGGTATCTATGGAACATTAGTAAAAATTAGATCAGAAGAAGTTACGCATAATCTAATACCGCCTGATTACGATTATATTTTGTTAATTGATACCGAAGGTTTATTGTCTATCGAGAAAGGTGACGAACAATATGACAAACGTTTGATTCTCTTTTGTTTGGCTATATCGCATTTAGTTATTGTCAATATTAGTGGTGAAATTCATGAAACATTGAAACAGATGCTTATCCTATGTACACAATCTCTTAATTATTTAGGAGAAACTCGTGTAACTCGACCAACAGTTCATTTTGTTCTTAATCAAAAAGCCGATCCAAACAAAGCCAATTGTGAGAAACAAGTGAAAATCATTCGAGATGATTTGATAGCAAATGGTCTCAATAATTTAATTGATCTTGGACCGAATAATTTTCATGTTTTATCGACAGCATTTAATCGAAAGCCATTTTTAGATCCGAATGGAGAATGTGCTGTATTATCAACCGATATTAAATTTGTTACAAATGTTCAAAAGTTATGCAAACTTTTTATTGATTCATCATTTCAAATAATTCGTGATACTGGTGATCGTTTTTCAATACCAACAAAATGGATTGAATTTGCTAATAGTGTACTTCAAATCATCAAAAAATATCCAGATTTAACTTATTTTAAAGATATTTTTGAACGCGAACAAAACAATAACATACGACAAGATATTCGAAACGATTTTGAACAATATTTATCACCAACACAAGCTCAATTGTTGATCAATAGAGAAAAAAATAATAGTAAAAGTCGTATTCAAGATTCATTTCAAATTGAACAAGATAAAATTTTAAAAACTCTTGAATCAAATCTTGAACAAAAGATAGCAAAAAATGCAGTAAGTGAAAATGTTCGCCAACGATTATTTCGTTTTATGCAAGTACAAGTAAAAAGTCGATTTCGTTCATGGGAAGTGTCAGCTATCATGGCAGGTGAACGAGACAAACTAAATAAAATGATACATGATAGTGATGCTGAACTTCGACAACTTGCCTATGATACAACAGGCAGAAATCATTTTATTGATAAAGCTTCAGCAATTGATAAATTTGAGAGGATGTGGCAAAATCGTTTTGCTTGTGTCACAGCAGAGTTTGATTCGGAAACTCAATGGAAACAATCGATTGATTTAGTTTGCCGTCTCTATGATGTATTTGATCAAGATGCATTACCATCATTCGATAATGTTCTCGCCTATTTACCCTTTCTCATGACATTTGATACGTTCGATCAATCTGATTTTCTTCATCAAAGTTTATTAAAAATCTCTACGGAATTTATATCGAAAGCTTCTAATATTAATCCTCTCGCTCCGCATACAACAAATAAGGTTTACACAATTTGTTTTTCTGATTTACAGAAACCGTATACATTTCTCAACAATGATTCATTACTAGCAATATTTTGCGGCAACAAAAATACTAGTACACGAACAAGAAATACATTTAGACCAGGTATACGTCAAGATTTTTCTCAAGAAATTAATAACAAATGGCAAACGACTGTTCGAGTGTCCTATTGTTTCGAAATATTAATTGAACGTATAAGCGAAATCTTTCAATTAAAAATTAATGATGATGAACCTTCAACTGAAATTATTCTTCTACAAGATATATTGGGAAAAGTCAATAAATTAATACAAGATATGAATCAAGAACTAAATATATTCAATTTTTCTATGTCAAAAAGTTTAAAAAGTATTCTACATATTTGTGCTGTACTATCGACTGCACTATTCTACTATCATCGACATAAAAACCATTTTAATAGTATGCTCATGTCAATACATCAAAATAAGGCTAAATGGCAACATCGTTTTCTTCGCATGGTTGTAATTCAAGAGAATGATGATGAAAATGTTGCTACTAATCTTGTCAATGAGTTTTCTGATATATTACGTCAGTCATTTGAACAGAAAGCAAAAGAAATTATTGGAAAATGTATTGAAAATGAACTACTTACACTGAATCGATATTCTATTATGAAAGAGCTCGATGATGAAGTGTACGAAGCTACAAATGATTGGCTTCTGCGCTATGTTCTCCAACCAATGCAAGTAATCATCGAACGATTTGATCGACGATGGAAAAACATCGAAACGAAAATCCATCAACGGCTCAACATCAGTATGAATTCACATTTAGAGATAGTAGCTGAATTCTTTCGCATCATAGAAGCAATCAAAATTGTATTGAGATTGAAAGGTGGAGATTCATTGACTTTTGTCGATGATCTATTCGAACCATTGAGTAACGATATTGATCAGAATCTATTCGATAAGAAATTATGTATGGCTACACTTCTTTATCAATATCTTTCAGGTGAATCTATTTCGACGCAGATAACTACTAAAAATGGTTTAACGTATACAGTTCAATCGAAATGGCAAGAAATTATCAATAGTATGCCGAAATTAAGTGATCAACTGAAAGAAATTTTTTGTTCGATGAAGACGACGTTTGAAACGTATACAATCACTTACATTGACTTTTTTCTCGATAAACTCATCAATCAAACAACAACCATGAAAAAAGCCTTGCAAAATTGCATGACTACTTTTGTTGAAAACAGTTGTCGTAACACGCGAGAACGACTACTTATTCAAGTACGTGGCTGTCAAGAACAGTGTCCTTGTTGCAAGCGTTTATGTGATATTGATCATCGATTGGACAATGCTACACCTGTGGGTCAAGGAGAGAATAGACATCGATGTCAATCTGGCCATCAAATTCGAGGTATGGGTGGCGTACGATATGAAGTGATCAATGAAGCATCGACAGTATGGTGTGAAATAATCAAAGATGAAGATCTTATTATTACTAGTAGAGGTGGACGACAGACATGGATAGATTTCAAAAATGCTCATACCAATTGGGATTTTGGTGACTCAAGAATTCGAGCAACTCAAAAGACGCCCTATACCTATATATGGAACAAAATTGGAGAACAACTGTGTCAACAGTTCGGTAATGGAATGAAATTTGTCACACAAAATAGTCCAATTCCGGTGAATCATTTTATTCTTCTACTCGATCATTCCGGTTCCATGAATGATTCAATTTTTAAACAGATATCTTGTTTATTGATATCGAGCAGCACGGCTACTACGACGAGTGATTCTCATCAAATGGATTTGAGTCCATGGGAACATTTGCTTAGAGCTGTCAGAGAATTTATTCGCATTAGAATTCAAAAAGTATGTCATACTGATCAAATGACCATTATTATTTTCGGTAATAGAGCGACACGAGTTTATAATAGAGAAAAATTAAATCACATTGATATGGATCAACTTAATATACCGATGTCAATGTGTGGTCAAGGTACTAACTTTTCAGTTGCATTCGCTATGCTCATTGAAACGCTGAACGAAATTAAGAACGACCCAGTATGTAATAGTCTTCGACAAACAATCATCTTTCTAACAGATGGAGAACCTCAAGTTTATCCAACATCTGAATTAGAACGTTTATCTACAGATTACAAATCAATGATCACTCATTTTTGGACAATGGGTCTTGGTGATTATAATAGGAAAGTTCTCCAACAAATAACTGAGAAAATGCAAGGCAAGCTGACAGACATTGAAAAACCGGAAGATCTTATTGAAGCATACGCTGAGATTGCCGACTTTTGCGACACAAATTTATCTTGAAAATGATCTCGTGTTGTCGTTAAAATTTACATGACTGTTCATGATTAATTTTATATTTTTTTTAAAATACATACGATCATAACTGAACTACAACAAGATAGATAATTCGAAGGATGGAGAGAAAGAGAGAAATTGTCTAACATTAGGGTGTGGGTGTGGTGTGGATATGAATCTTCATCTCTACCACACCCACACCCACACCCATAATTCATTATTTTCTTCTCCATCTGAGTATTGCTCCGCGTGTATTTTTTCCCTTTGTTTTCACAACAGAACTGCACTCACTCAATCAAATACAATCGCTAAAAATGAGCACAGATGATCGATGAATTATTATCATCAATTTTAATAAGTTTGGAGAGTTTTATTGACTTAGAGAAAAATAATTGTAAAGTGATGATTAAATCAATTCTTTTTCTTGCAATTTTTGACAAATGCAAATGATATTTCAACTGAGTTTTCAATCCTTTGCTTGAATATTGTTTCTTCATCTTTTCAGAAATATCGAAGAATTTTCGGTGTTTGACATGGCAACAGACGAAATCACACAACGCATTCTGTGCATCTCGGACATTGATAAAGAACCTGAAGAGATACTCGCGCCAATTCATGGCTATGATCAAATGCTATTGATGTCACTCGAAGAAGCCGTACAACCACTCGTTCCTATTCTACCTGCAGTACAAGATTATGCCTATATGGCCAAAGAAAAATACAAGAAACCTGAAGATGGTTTGACACAAGACGAGTCAGCTTCGATTATGCTCTACTCGATGGGATGGGAACCACTTGAACAATGTCTATATTTTGCGTTGAATGCTGCACTTCGATCAACAGACAGACAAAAACTTGATCCATAGTATCTCTATCTCAAATTGATTCTCACTGCATTCTCACGTCTACAATCTCACCATCGATCTGTCTATCGAGGCGTTAAAACAGATTTGAGTGATCGCTATCGAAAAGGTGAAAAAATTATATGATGGGGGTTTTCCTCATGAACTACCTCAATTGATGTACTATAATCTGAATTATTTCTGGGTAAAACAGAAACAAGAACGATGTTTACTATTGAATGCAATTCAGGCAAAGATATTCGTAATTATTCCTTTTTTCCAAATGAAGATGAAATACTTCTTCCTGCTGCTACTCAATTTAAAGTTGTTGGTTGTCTCGATCAAGGTCCTACTCTTAGAGTGATTCAACTAAAAGAAATTGAGTCATCCATACCACTAATACAACCAGTGGCACTTGCTGCTCATTTGAATGCAGCATCATCTAGTAAGTAAAACAATATTTCTTCAATTGCGACATATTTAATTAGATCTCATTTGACAAAACGTAGATGACTGTCTAAAACGAGCTGTTGAACCATAACTAGACACGAACTATTTTCATGTGAGAAAATCATCGATATTCTTCTTTCGATATTTTTGAAAACTCTTTCAGAATCAGCAGGGGTGTGGGTATGGGGTGCGGGTACGGGTACGGGTGTATTGTCTGCACAGGCCGTATACCCACACCCACCGTGTATCGTGGAGCACAAATGTCGATAAAAGAGTTAAAAGCTTTAGAAGAAAAATCCAAATGGATTGATTTTAATGAATACATTTTTTTCGACAAGTAAATCATCGTCAATTGCCTCTCGATTTGGTATTGATGGTACTCGAGATAATCCAACAGTTATTTTTACAAATTCTATTGACGATCATATTCATGATCAGCTGTATGCTCTTATTGAAAATTCGAGTCATTTTAGCCATGAAGAAGAAATATTATTTTCAATAGGTACAATATTTAGGATTGAAAATGTTGAACCAATGAATGATACTGTTTGGTCCATTGAATTAAAATTATATAACAGACACAACTTAGAACTAAAGCAACTTATGATTAGTTTTGAGGAAGAAATTGGCAAAACATCAACACTTTTCGATCTTGGTAATATATTCTTCTACATGGGAGATAACGATAGAGCAGAAAAATACAATCGAATTTTACTTGAACAATTGCCACCAAATGATGATTTTATGTTAATAGTTTACACCAATATTGGTGATACTTATTTAAATAGAGGAAACTATCACATAACGTCAGAATATTATGAGCCAGCTCTATCAATAGCGTTGAATCTAGAATCAGATTTTCAAATAGCTCTTGCTTACGTATACGATTCAATCGGTTTGTTAAACGATTGAACTGGAAAGTATGAAGAAGCAATAGAAAATTTAAAACAAGCACGTGATATTAAATTAAAATCTATGCCAGAAAATGCTCTCTTTATGGCATAAACATATAACAATATTGCAATGGTCTACAGACATAAACTAGACTACGAACTTTCACTAGAATACTACAATAAAGTACTTAATATTGAACTCGAATCTTTACCAGAGCTACATCTAAATATTGCTTCAACTTACAATAATATCGCATTATTACTAAATCAATTACATCGTTATGATGAAGCATTAAATAATTATATGAAAGCATTGAAAATTGAACAAAAATCATTACCATCGAATCATTACAAAATTGGAATGACATATAACAACATAGCATTACTTTATACAAATACTAATGATCAAATAAAAGCTTTAGATTTTTATGAAAAAGCATTGACTATATTTTGTGATACTTTAGAACATGATCATCCAACTATTGGATCGATTTATTATAATATGGGAGATGTGCATTATAAACTTGGAAATAATGATACAGCTATGGATTATTTTCAAAAAGCACTTGATATACGACTAAAATCACTTTCAAATGATCATATCGACCTTGCAGCTATATTAAATAGTATCGGTGTGATTTATTTAATTTGAGAAAATTTTATTGATGCACTTAGGCATTGCGCACAAGCACTTAAAATACAACTGACGTCATCTCCAGACACTCATCCAGATTTAGCTGCCACACATTTTAATCTTGGTAGAATTAATTTAAAACTAAATCAATACGATAAAGCATTAGAACATTTTCAAGTGTTTCAGACAATCATGACTAAAATCTTTAAAGAAGATCATCATGATCTCGAATTATTATATTTTTATATTGGTAATACTTATCTTTTACTTGAAAATTATCAAAAATCAATTGAGAATTCTGAAAAATTTCTTCAAAATCAACTGAAAAAGCCCAATTCAGACAAAGATCATTTAGCAACAACATACACATATATGGGACTAACTTTCAATAAACTAGGTAAATATGTTGAGTCAACAAAGAAATTTAAAAAAGAATTAGAATTTCAATCAGAATTACAAAAACAACTTGCAATGATAGAAATCATTGCACATATTGGGAAAAACTATCATAAACAAGCTAATTACACAGAAGCATTGAAAAATTATCAAAAAGCAATCGCATATTTCAAAGCTCTGCTTGAGTTACAATCAAAATAT